TGAGACGAGATTTACAGGGGGAAGAAAAAAAAAAAAAAAAAAAAAGAAAAGAAAGCACCATTTGTGTTGATTGCCTGCTCTTAGCTGTAGAAACAAATACTTAGTATGTCTTAGACGAGCAGGGAAGACTAAAAATATTGGGACTTTACACTTGCAATCACAGAAAACATGCAATAACTGAAAGTTCCCATCTTTAAGTAAAGATTACTCACATTTTCCAGATCAGGAATGTGGAGGTAGTACTCCGGGTAGGGGTAAGACACACCAACATTGTTAACTGTTAATGACAAAAGGGGAGCAATCATCAATTATTCTGCTATTTTAATTCAATTACATATAGCTGGAGAACTGGAACCGTCTCAATTATTCACCACTAGGTGGCAGCAAAAGCAAAAAAGGTAGAAACGGGCATTCAAAACAGCCACACCTTGTAACCAGTAGAGCACAACTGGTATCATAAAAAGAACAAAGGGTTCCTTAAATGTAAAGCTGAAAATGACAGTGTGAATTCTGGAGCCTAAGCAATAAAGAAAAAAAAAAAAAAAGCAACCACTGAACCAAGAGTGCATCTATAAATATGTAACATGCCTTGAGATGTCAGTTTAAAAACACTTTTGTTTTGTGAAACATGTGAAGATTAATCTCAGGACAAACAAAAGAAAGGTGGAAACGAGTCCTTGACTAAATTATTATGAAACTATGCTGAAGAGGACCCAACACCGCTAAACATGACTGAAAAGCAAGTACAAGTCGCCAGCTTTGCCCTTAATGTTAAACTAAAAAAAGTGCCTAAACCTGCTCTTCAGAAGAATTGAGTTCAGACTAACTTAATTTTTATTTTAATCGCACATGCAGAACGCAAGTATGAAACAAAGAATCTGCCTTCACCAAAATCTTCAATATCAAGTTCAAATTCTATAATAAGCACGGCTTGATAAACATCGCACTCACATGCTAAGGAAGCAATTTATGATGACTGAATGTATATGATAAGGGAATGTCCATTTTTTTGTCGACATCTAAAGAGAAGCCGTGTAAAGTTGTCTACAGTAAAGTGAAGATCAAGGAAGCCTCTTAATGCTGTCCTCGTCAAAAGGTAAAGAAGAAGAAAAGCTGCAGTCAGCCCTTACCAAGAACTCCAATCTCCAGACCAGCCAGACCTTCCTCAATCTTTGGGTAGATGTCAGTCTTGCCAAAGTCAACAGCAATAGTCCTGGTCTCCACTTTAAACTGCTCCTCTGTGAAGCAGACACAAGTTTCAGTTATTCATAGTTAGTGATATTTAGGAATGGAAGCATAACCCCCCAAAAATATAAAAAAGAAAACAAGTTGTATTGAACAAATTGTGTGAATTTTAAAAAAAAAAAAAAAAAAAAAAAAGGCAAGGAGGATGCATGACTTAGGTTTTGTTTAAAAGCATTCATGCAAGTGGGTGATGCCTTCATGTCAAATATTCATATTATGTCTCACAAATGATCCAGGACTTTGTTTAAAAGCTCATTACACGTCTCAACAACAGTGCAGCCCTGTGTCTCAAAACCTTCAAATGAACGTAGATAGCAGCATGAAACCACTCTGTGACAGATCAACTGCAGAGGGCACTGTGCACCAACAAACCAGCCTGCTGGTCTCCCCCTCCGTCATGCACCCTCCCCTCCATTCCTTCGTCATGTTTGACGTGCCTGCTGCAATTAGAATTTTGTCCAAAGACTCGTTTAGCTGATAGGCGGCCAAGGGAGTTACAAGAGGAAAATTCCTCTGATGTGCCTTGGCCAAAACCAGTAGTGTGTCAGTGTGTGCGCAGTCAGACTTGAGACGAGATTTACAGGGGGAAGAAAAAAAAAAAAGAAGCAGAGGGCCTCTCTGAAAAATGTTTATCGACTTCAGATTATCATTAGCCATCATAGCTACTGTCAGTGAGATTGCTAAACGCGGCTGGTGATGTGGTGATGAAGCACAAATATTAAATCACTGATTGCTGAACAGGATAAGTAATTTGACGTGGTTGATGAGTGCCATCGAGAGTCAAATGAAATGACTGCAGTGAGGAGAGGAAGAAGAAAAAAACCCCATGACGATAGGTGGGACAGGGTGGGTTGTCTTGGTTACATGTTAAGGAGGGACATTTTTGTCAGATTAATCGTGAGGGAGGAGTGCCAGAGTTTGGCACGCTGCACCCTGCTCGTGACTACCCATCAGCCCCCTCTGTGGACTTGAAGCACGACAGGGGAAATTGCGCTGTGGGAGACGGCAGAGACATGGAAAGAGAGAGTTGCAGAGAGGACACCATTAAACAGCAAAGGGGGTGGGGGTCTCTGTTTAGATCTGGCAACTGGACAAAATAGGAGAGGACAAAAGTTTTTATCCACCCACACCCAAAAATCATACGGACACTCATGTGCCATTCATCATGGACTCAAATATGGGGAAACCTCATCTGTGTGAAACATATTGCAACAGGAATACGTTTGAGAGTTTCCTCAATCAGGCCAGATATTTGACCCGTCAGTCTTAATCCACACAAGGAAATAAAACACACCCTGCTCTGTTGGCTTACAAGTTGGTCAGTGTTGTAGCAGAGTAAACCTTGAGTTAGCAGGGTGCACAAAGCGTGAAATAGCGGGATTTGGAGAACAAATCTAAATAGTGAAACTGCTCTCAACAATGCTACAGTAAAATTCTTTTGAATATGCACTAGTACCTTCCCCAAGAAACTGAAACATTTCAGATAAGTAAACTTTCTGGCTAAAGTCCAACTCCTCATTTTCAATATCTAACCACTTGAGGAAAGGAAATCCTGTAGCTGACGGCCCGTTAGGCAGCACTGCGCTGTCGGCTCTTACACGCATCCTCATCATCCCACTCGCTGTGCTCTCAACCCTGAACAGGTTGAGGAGACAAATACACATGCACACACTTTTATGCACACTTACCAATTGACCTGGCCACATCATCCAGCTTCTCCTGAGAACGACTGATCAACATCATGGCAAATCCTCGACGAGCCAACTAGAGCACAAAAACCAGTTAGTGACACAAGTTCAACCATACTTTCAACACACAGAGGACAATGTCACAGTAGGTAACAAGCCATTAGCTGTAAATGTTTGTTCGGTAGCATTGCAGATGAATGCAACAGATTTTGTTAGTCTATTATATTCTTCCATTCAAGATCATCTTCTCAAACCTGTCATCATTGCTTCCACAGCAGCTTTTTAACGTCACTCTACGGAAAATCTGTTTGTAAAACCACTTTCACTGCACACTGTGATTTCTTGGCACACTTCAAACATGTGCAGAGTACACAACCTTGCTTTAAATAAATTTAAGGTGGAGGATTGTTGCTGGTGATCAGAACTTCAACCATGAGCAAAAAGTTTTCAGCTGAAGAACCCACAGAGTTTCCAAGAGTTCAGATAACAAATCAGGTCGGAACAGCCTTTAAACAGCAGTAATTTGGACTGCTGTGACTACAACTGTGTACCACACAGTTGTGAAAATCCTTCCAACTAAAAAGGCTTTAGACCAGCGATTGTGACAATTCAGATCTTTGTCCTGTTGACCACTTATGTTGTTTGTTGCTTCTATAGCACAGGTTGAGCCCTTTGAATGAATCCGGTGTGCATCTCATTATTTTGAACCGATACACAAATAAAGTAGCATTTGTGCTTGTGCACAATTACCAATATACCTAAACATTTAAAATGCTGCCCATCACTGCATGACAAACAACAAGACACACTGTAGCCCTAACAGTATGAGTCAAAGGCTCTACATGACCATGATACAGCCGGATCTCCCACTCTGTTATGTGCGAAGACACGTGGCAGGGTAGCCCCTATTCAACGTGTGGCTGTTACCTTGTACAAGCACCAATAAGAAGTGTGTGTGTGTGAGTGAGAGGACTTTTACATGTTGATAGGCCTCTAAGAGCTCTCTCCTATGAGTGTACATGGTGTATGTGTATATACACATGTGCATGAGTCATAGATTTTCAGTGAAAGAAATGAAATAAATAAAGGTTCGGGAGCCTCACCTCCTCCGCATAGGATTTCCCGATTCCATCTGTGGCTCCTGTCACAACTGTAGAGAAACAGAGCCAGGAGTCAGTACAGATTCTCTTGAGACAGTGACACAGAGCAAGGCCGGGGTCAAGTCGAATTGTATTCAAATAATGAGGAAGACTTCAGGACTGGAATAACTAGTTTCCCAATCTAGGTAAACTAAATGGAATGAGCCACATTACATCATCAGAAGCAGCAGGCGACTGCAAAACGTCAGTCTGTCACCATCTTATCGGACATCATCTCTGCATGTCAATCTCTGAACAACATTGTACATAAGTCTGATCTATGTGGCAGGCACGCCCTACAATACTATTCATCTGCCGTTTAGGGAGGCCTTGCTTTAAGTTCTATGATGACAGCTTTTCCGATAAGTCAAGTCCATTTTGGCTTAAATGCTCACCGATTTTCAAATTAAGAGTATATGCACAAGGGGTGCTTATATTGCAAATTGGAGGTGAAAGCAGCAAAAATAAAATGGTTTGGCAACAGCAGAGAGGATCAACAACAAAAAAAAAAATACAAGACAAAAAAAAAAAAAATTATTAATGAAGAAATGCAAAAAACAAAAGGAGACCACAATGCAGAGATTGAGGCTGATGTTCAGAGTGAGTTTTCCCTCACCTTGCCAAGCAAACAGTTATTTTTAAACCTTCACTGCCCATCAACCCCAGCCTCTGCTTGACTGATAGAGGATTGTGGGGAGAAGGGAAAAAAAGAAAAAAAAAAAAAAAAGGGCTGTGAGGGTGTGAGGGGTACTTACAAATATACAAGCACATAGTTGTGAATCATTAATATAATAGCAAGGCGTGATGAAAGATTAATGGAGGCAGAGGACATTCTCTGGCAAAGAGCTGGAAAAAAAAGACAAGATGAGAGAGGGGACGCAGAGAGGAGGGAGCGATGACGAACATGGAGCAGGAGAAAGAGGAGGGGGAAGTGGGGTAGGGAGAGTGGCAGTGGTGGGGAGGGAGAGGAGGGATCCTAGGGGTGGCTAAAAATAGAACAGGAGCGAAGCAAGAGAGCGACTGAGTGAAGGAGAAAGACACGGAATAGGGATTGCGGTGGAGGAGAGGGAGATGGGGAGGGTGGAGGGGATAAAGGGGAGTGAAAGGAGTGAGAGAGAGTAGCACAAAGTCGGAAGTGAAAAAGAGAGCAGGATCCCTGGTTATTTTTAAATGTCCCCCCTATGTTACGAATGAAATGCTCCCTAGCAGAAAAGCTTCAATGGGCATGGGATGTACCAAATCAGGCTCTTGATGCAGATGCAGGTGGCAGCTTAAAAAGGCAACAAGACAGCCACTGCAAGGTAAAAATGTCTATAAAAATATCTTTCGTGGTACATTCTGAAACAGATGGGGTTTATTTCCTATGAGCTACAGGCCTTATTCTTTTAAATAAAGCCATAAACGCACAATATAACAATAAGTGAAAACATCATCCTTCCATGAGACGTGCTTAGCGAGAACTGGATCAGCAGCCTCTTTCCTGATGACCTTCATGTGAGTTTTGATCTTAGCTCTCAACTGTTCAAGTATAATGAACTCAAACAAAGATGAGGAGTGTGAAACTATTTTAGATGACAGAAATGAGCACAGCTGGAGTTACAAGGTTGCTGGAGGTAATGGAGAGAGAAAGCTTTTTCTGAAACACCTTGCATCAACATTTGAGGAAAAGCCCTGACTCAAAAGGGGGAAAAAAGACGACAAACTGATAAGCTATGAAACCAAGAATGGTTTCAGCTGTCATTCTGTCAAAGTACTAGATCAAACAGTTGAGTTTCAGTGTACCACCCATATTCCCATCTCATGTACACTGGGGAAAATTTACCCCACAGATGGGCAGCTGGGACGCGAATATCATTTGCTTGCATGACTAACCTGCAGATGCAGATTACACTTGTATGCAGGAATGCATCAAAAATGCAGCAGAAATGCGTACGCATCAGCGCTGCTTGAACTTTAACCTGAAAGAAGATCCTGTGCAAGAATACATTTACATCTTATAATAATACATAATACATCTTTTGCAACATGACATTACTCATCTGATCTATCGCTTAGATACATGCGTTCATGTTATGAATATCAAGCATTTTAAGAATACAAAAATCTTTAACATTTTTTTTCCTGCCCATAAAACCCATTTGGCCTATCTGCCCTTTGATGAGCAATGATTCTGGAGTGACAATTAGAGAGTGGAAAACTAAAGTTTATAATGGTGATGTGATTTGTTTGCTGTACAGGAAAGTGGAAAGAAAAAAAGAAGAAAAAAAAACTGTTTTATACTAAAGTCAACAATGAAAGAGAAAAATACTCAGAACTCTTTAAAGTCACCATACTGTGAATTGTGATTTTCCACAGTGCATCAGACAACCAAGTCCACCCTGCACACTTTCCCCAGGCTTTATGCCCCCTCACTGCACTCTCCAAGTCCTCGTGCTGCACTTATGAATGACTATACTCCTCCCACCCATTATATAATAGGACCATTTTCTCAATAAGCATTTCCTAGGGACTGAGTGACAGTCAAATGTGTGTATGTGTGCATCTTCACCCGTGTGAAGAATGGGGAAGCTAGTACAGTGGGATGACGACACTGTTCTTCTGGTTTTAAGAGATTTTGTGTTTGAGCCATCATAAGTGGAGCTAAGCTGCATAACCTGAAACTTACAAGTATGGAATTATGTACGGAGAACACAATGTTCAAAAGACAGTTCAGTCAGAGACACCCATGTGCCAGTGGCCCCCCAGCAGGAGAGAATCGCTCTTACGTGAACAAAAGTGACACAAAGATACAATTTCGCAAGGAAGGTTCTACGCAAGCAAGCACGTGAGTGACCGTAACACTGACGCCACACGCTGGCACCATTGTGTGTGCACCACTGCTTCTCATTCAGCTCTGAACCCAGTCCCCCCAGTGTGTCTCCCCCCACCCCACCCCACCCCATTTCAACACCTCAGAAAAAACTGGTCCATCATGTAGGCTTTGAGGCGCCCTGACGGGGGCGCGTTTGCACTGCAGCTCTGCTGTGCTTAGTGCTGCACAACATGTCCTGAGGTATTGACATCCCCCAGCCTTTTCTGTCTCCCTCCCTCCCTCCCTCTTCAGCAGTGGAGCAGCCCTGCCACTGCCTGCTCACTATTTCAAGGGTCTAAAAAAAGCAGCAGGAGGAGTAAAAATAGCAGCGCCTGCACTGCCTTGTCTGGGAGCTGCCTGCTTGCCTGCCGCAACACCTGAATACCAACAAGATCCCCCACAACCATTGTCACAACAGCCAGGCTGCTGCTGCATCCCGAGCTCTCCAACTGAAGGCCCAACACCAACTAAAGCACTGCAGGCTAGGGGAAAAATAAATAAAACAAAGAGGATATGGTGAGCGGCAGACAAAGAGCACAATGTCTTCATCTCATGATATTTAAAGGATCTTTGGTTTAGACTAACCTGCACTGCATGAGCTGTTATATGAGAGGGTAAGCAGCTGTTAAAGGACAAAGACACAACATCCAATCTTTATTAATATACCGATTATTCACTGGTACAATGAGAGTAAAATAATCTAGTTTTTAGGGGTGTTTACCCGCATGATGTGTGGTCTTATTTCATCTCAGAAAAATGAACTTACAGGAGGGCAAAACTACAATAATTCCATAAACTCCCCAGAACCCTCCCCGCCACCAACACCAAACCCCCAATTAAGATTCTCAGTGAGGAGAGACTGCGGTCCTTGTATGCCCCACTCCTGTTATGTACTGTTATGTAATCTGTCGCACCCCAAACTTGCCTATCAACGAGCAGCCCCTCCTATGTCTCAAAAAAAAAAAAAAAGGGGGACGGAGGGAGGGATGCAGCAGAAGAGCCAAAGACAAACCCGCCCCTTCCTCCAAAGTCTACATCCCTTAACCAAAATACCCCCATTCTCCATCCCCCCCCCCCCCCCCCCCCCCCCCCCCCCCCCCCCCCCCCCCCCCCCCCCCCCCCCCCCCCCCCCCCCCCCCCCCCCCCCCCCACCCCCCCCCACCCACACAGCTTTTAAATAGCAGGGGAGGCAAGTCACATGGTTAATATAAAATAAGCTTGATCAGGGAGAAGAGATGAGGGGAGGGTGGGTGTGAGACAGAGAGAAGAGAATGTGTACTTCAGAGCTGCCAAAGATAGAAGCAGCATCTATATTTGGGTACAGAGCAAAAAATAGTCCTGTCCCCCTCTCCTACCTTCAGTCACATGCCTTGTTTAAAATTTCTTTTCACACAAGTACTTGGTTTGAGACTAGGCGATTTCTGAGCAGGAAAAACTTTGCTCTTTGACTGTGTGCTGCTAAGGCAAGAATGGAATGTGCAGTAAGGAGATTTTTTTCACCTTTCAGACAAAGCCTAAAGCATGTGTTTAATGGTATTAGTCCATTGGTACAAGGACAATGAAATAGCATGCTGTACATAACTAAAGTGAATTACACGCGTGGTTCTATTACTTACTAAAAAAAGAAAAATTATAACTTTCAACCACTTGTATGCTTGATTACATCTTTAAAACAAGTGTAAATGTAGCAGTTAGTTGATGTACCCATCTTGATACAGTACATTATTGTGCATAGGTACAACCCAGAAAGAATGACACCCAAAATGTTAGCAGTTCATTTCAACAGACACTCAAAACTGAACAAACTGCCTCGCTGGCATGTTGGCTTGCAACCAAATTACTGATGTATCCTGACACAAGGCAGTAAAACCAGCAACAAGAAATATGTTGCTGGTCCAGTACGGTGCATTCAGATAACATATCTGAGTAGATAATAGTTGCTGAACTTCACAATCTCTACATCTTGGTTACATGTGCATGTCTTAAAATGTCAGTAATCTGGAAGGTGCTGGAGCTTCAGCTAGAAACACTGCAGCCAAATAAATGTAATTCATTCATATTTTAACATTTGGAGGGATTTCTGCTAGTTTTTTAAAGCTTAAGGGCTTTAAGTGGCAGTTTGAAAGCAGAAATGTTTAGTGTAGTAAAGTTGTCTAAGTTCTAGAGACGCCAAACAATCACGCAAGAATACAACTGTCAGAATTTACTCGCAAATGGATCCAAAATACAGATAATATACAAAGAAAGTATCACATGTTTAACTGCTCTTTTATGAGCCTCAGTTATTGAAACACCAATACATTAATTTTCAAGTGATGCAGAATTGAGAAACAAAAATAAAACTGAAGCCAACATACTCAGAGGAATATGGAGGAATATACTGTAGCTATAAACAGACCCACTTGCTGTATGGGGAGCTGGGTGAAATGAAGTGAGGTGGGGGGTTGAGATGAGGGAGATGCAGAGGATTTTTCTCTGCCCCCCCCCCC